TATAAAAATTTAACTAATTAAAGCTAATGTATCCAACATTAATATAAAGTAAAAATTTTAACTTTGGTTAAAATGTCACAGAACCTCATTTTCCTAGCTCACAACCTATATTCTTTCTTAATATTTAAACTTTTTTTTAACATTTACTAGTCCTTATCTTTAAAATTTTAAAAGAAAGAAATATTATATTTATTTTAAAAAAGTAGCTATATATTCTAATGATCTCTATAATAATAAAATTAATTAACTTGCCAAATCTTCATTTTTCACTTCTTCTTTACCTTTAATATTTTTTCAAACTTTTTTATTTTTCTTATATTATATGCCTAATTTTATATCTTTACATCATTTTTTTAAAGATTACACAAATACCAAATAATTTATTAATTTTTACTATCTAAAAAAACTAAAAATATGTTAATCTTCAAATAAATTAATTACTAATATTTTAATTTAAAAAATATCAAATACACTATAAAAGACTCAAAATTTCTTTTTGAACAAATTTTATTATTAAGTTTATGAAAGCTATTCAACCTATAATTTATAATTTTTTATAAAAATATTATTATTATAATAATAAAAAGAAAACTTTAATTACATTTGGATTTGTCTAAATATTAAATAAGTAATAAAATCAATAATCAAAAAAGTATTTTAAATTTTTAAATAACAACTATTTATACAAATTTCAAGATCTAACTATTCTCTAGAAATATCAACATTACTATTACCTTTACATCTCTTTTGGATTTTCAAAGCTAATTCATTTCATTTTATATTTTTTGACTTCATCAAAGATAATAGGATAGATATATTTCACATTATTATAATTTATTAATTATTTTGCTGATCTTTTATTCATATATTAAAAATGTCATTAATAATGTATTTTATATGTAAATTAGTTTCAATTGAAAAATCTTATATAATAATATATATTAAATTTTTGCATATAATTTTATTTTAATATAAATAAATATAATATTAATTTTTATCATATTGAATTATTATTGAAATTAATTTACTATAAGTAATATTTACCATAAATATTTTAATTGATTATTTATTTAAAAAAATTTATTACTTTTATTTAATGATAACTTTTTATTTACCTAAAATTTACTAACTTAATTTAGTAATAGATTTTTAAATAGTTAAAGTATATATTTTAAAATTTTTAAGTTTTATTTAAACTTTTGTAATTTCATCTGAAGCTTTAAAATCAGATTAGCATAAAATGGATACTAATTAAATTATTGAAAATTTTGGCTCAATTTTAACTTTGTATTTTATATTCAAATATTATATAACATTTATATCAAATTTTGATAACATAAACTATTTAATATAATAGTTAATATAATAAATTTGAATATTTTAAAAGAATTCAAAACATTAATATTTGCAAAAGCTGTTGTGATAATACAAAATATGATTAGTAAAATGATTAATATGATGATATAAATATATTCATCTGCTATTAAAGGTATTGTTTTTTACTCTTTACTTAAATTTATCAACTTTTTTACAAATTTTTCTAATTAACTTCCAAAATTTTTTTTTCTTTTCTATGATTTTAATTTGACCAAACTTATGATATTATGTAAAAATTACAATATAAAATTACTATTAAAAAACAATTTCTTTATTTCTTTATATTTCTAAATATAGCAAACAATAAAATTATAGTTCTTTTAACAACTTTTTAATTAGCTACTTTATTAATACAACTTTTTCTATTAATAATACAAAATACAATTATATTTCTTTAATGATTAAACCTTTTATTCACAGTCAAAAATGATCTTTTTAACATGATTATAATATTTGTCAAATGTTTTTTTATAATTCTATAAGTGATTATTATCAGAATCTGATGGAACAACCAATTGGTTTGATTAGAGTTAGTTTACTAATGATGATTATTAGACAGCATTTTTATTTTTTCTAATTTTGTATCCTTTATTAGGATTTTATTGAAATTAAATTTATAATAAATAATATATTATTGCATCTTTAAAAAAAAGCTGATTTAAAATCAATGAATTTTAGCTCATTGGTTCCATCTAGTCATGAGGAATCAAATGGTAGTTATTTTATGAGTAATTGAATAATAATGATAGAAATTTTTTATATATTTTTTTTATATATAAAATACATATTGACATTTGGCTATTTTGGCTATTTGACTGATTATTGTTGGTCAAAGGCCAAAAAATTGGCTTTGGCCATAGCCAAATGCCATCACTCCTTTATTTAGTAGTATTATAAATATTACATGATATTTTAATTTTAATTTATTATTTAATTTGATTTTTTAAAAAATTAAATATGTGAATAGTCTATATTTCTATGGTTTCTAATGGGTTTTAATTAAAGATGGTACAGCAATTGATTTCAAATTTACAAAATGTTGCAACATAAGCTAAAATTAGTTGCAACATATATAGGTTAAAACTAATTGCAACATAAGTTGCAACATTAAAAGTTGCAACATATTAATTACAGTTCCCATCTTTAGTTTTAATACTATATATGTATAATATATATATATATATTATACAGTAATTATACAATATAGGTTTGCTATATACCAGTAATTTCTTATTATTAATATAATTTTTAATATATTATAAATAATTTCTAAAAGTTTTATCATGTTATTACATAATACAATCCTAATTCGTATTACCAATAAATAATAAAGATTAGATGTTAAGTGAACTCTACAAACTAAATTTGGGTATGTTATTTTTAAATATATTAAAAGATTGTCGAATTTTATAATTTAAATTTAAAATAAAATTAGACTAGTTTAACTTGCTTCAAATATATTAAATGAACTTTTAATAATGAAAATATTAAATTGATATTGAAAAAAATATTAAATATTAATTGCTTATAAAAATATCCGTAAAAATTTTTATCATCGACGTTAAATTTTTACACTTATAATTACGTATTATTTTTACTATCACTATATAAAAATTATTTTATTTTATTTTATTTTTTTTTACTAACGTTAATAATCAAACCAATCTTCATACATGAAGTATAAGGTGAAGTATTCCGTCGATTCAAATGCCATTATAAAATTTGAATTTACAAAGGGAATCAATTTACAACAGTTCGTGAAGAGTGAAATTTTTTAATCCAAAATATTACCAGGAATGATAATTAAACATATAAACTTAGAACGGCAAAATCAACTATATTTTAAAGAATTCTAAAATCGGTATGTTACTTTATAAACAAATGTTCTTGTAATATTCAATCCTTATTTTCAGACAATAAGTATGATTCGGAAGAATGTTTTTGATTACGAATCTATGAGGAAGTTGGTTATTGGACGAGAACATAATCTTAGTAGAGATATTGAATTCCTTTCTTGGATAATACAATGGAAGAGATATTATAGCCTAATTTGGAGGAAAATAAAAAGGACCTTTCGTATTGAAATAGCCATACTTGTATAAATTAAACGTGAGTAATTTAATTTAACTAATTTAGGGATCTGTGTGAACGATGTTTCATGAGGCACAGCAAACGTATGTAATTTTATTTCATTTCAGCATAAATTCATTATTCCTTTCTAATATTCAACATCTCTTCTAATTCAATCACAACTTTATTAACCATACGTTCTCTATTTTCATTAGTAACTTCCCAAATCACTAGATTTTCCTCTTCAACATCAATTGATTTTTGTTTTCTTCTTAATCCAGCATCAGCTTTATTCCTAATCTCCTCTGCCAATCCTCCATGTTTCAATGCAACAGTTCCTACAACACAAATATCATTTTCATTTTTCTTTCCTTTCGATATCAAATTTCTTACAATTTCGTTAAAACCATTTGAAAAACTTTCCATCTTACCAACTTCATCAATTATGACCACCTGTTTTTTACATTTGCTTTCCTTATCATCACCACCTATTTTAATTGTTATAGCCGGTATAGCTATTTTTTCAAATTCTTTCAAATCAACAATATATTCTCCAACTTTTGGTGCTATAGCGTTGGGAGGTTCTCCTGTCCAATAATCTTTTTTACGTGAAAGAACCCCTCTTTTTCCATCAATTGTAATTATATCAAACCCTATTCTTGAATTGTTTTTGTTTAATCCTGTTGTTACTTCTGATGTGTAAAATCCGTGTAATAAAATCGTTTCTGGGTAAGTAGTTTGTAAATATTTTATTACTTTACTGATGATAGTTGTTTTACCAACCCTTGGGCTTCCTGTCAAGAATAGAGATTTCATTTATACTTTTTTTTTACTTAAAATAAAACGTTAAAAAGTGAAAATTTTTTTTTTTTAATTTCAAATATTTGATCGGATAAACTTGGCTAGATTTGTGTAACGGTTGAAAGAAAATTCTACTCTAATTGTGATAACAGGAAAAGTTACATCACCTTCATCTCGATCCTCGTTTGTCTTAATTTTGATTTTTATTGCTTCGATATTAAGGTATTCCAATTACTATGAAAGTTTATATTTGAATCTTTTCATATTTTTCATCTACTAACAAAAGCTCACGGTTAAGCATTAAATATATTATCCCATAGATAAAAGGTTTTTTTTTCATTTGAATTTCACCCAAATTTAAGAATTAAGTGAATCGAGTTTTGGATGATAAATTCCTAAGTATTTTTTTCAAGTACGAACTTTTTTTTGCAAGGAATTGAGGGATGAACTATAGGGAAAAAGCAATTCGAGAATTATGTATTATTTATACCGGCATCAAAATCTTTCAAAATCTTAAGTTTTTTTCGTTTTTTTTTTTTTTTTTTTTTTTTTTTGGTAATTGAAAAAGCTTTTAATTGTCCTTGAAGTATACTAATATGAATTATTATATATTTTTTACATATATTACAAAAAATCTTTCAAAGTTATTTAGTACGTATATTCTGTATTTATGTATAATTGAAATGTTCGTATCGAACCCCAAGACAAAATATATACGCGTAATATAAAAAAAACAATGATTCAAACAGTTAACGAGAATATTTACAAATTGTAAGAATCATCTAGATAATTTTCACCACCAAAAATTCTATGATTCCTCATAATAAACATAAACGCGATTTTCTTTGGAGAACGTTACACCGTGGTTGATTTTTGCTAGTTCTTTTGATTCGACTTTACCCTTGATAGACGTGGTCGATAGTTGACCAATGATGCGTTTCTTGACACGATTATACATCGTTTTCTATAAAAATAACAAAATATTAAAATTTTATTTGTCAAATTTCATTATATTTCGTTTTTTTTTTAAAAAAAATTAACAAGAAAAAATTTGTAATACCTTTTTTTGTTTTTTTGTATTATTGTAATCCAAAGAATCATGCATAATTGTTTCAAATGAATACAAATCAACTCTTGGATGATTGAATATTAAATCGTAGTCAAGTGGAACGTATTCTTCTGAACCATCTTCTTCATTTATAACAACATCTTTAAATTCTTTTTTTGTTTTGTCTATAAAAGATTCTACTTTACTTGGAAGTAAACGGAGGTGAAGATTAAGTAAAGAAAGTTTTGCTGACATGTTTTCTTAATTTTTTTTAATTTTTTTTATTTTCAGTAAAAAATCCCCAGTTTAAAATACGGAAGATACGTAAATATTTTTTTTTAAAAAAAAAAATGAATAAATGAAGGTAATGGAGAACGTGAAGAATCAATCGTGTAACGTTTACATACAATTTTACAGTTTTAGGAGTAATTTGACGTCAAAAATCTTAAACTGATCTTGATTGCTAATAGTAATTATATGGTAAGTTTATGAGATATGATATTTTCATCATAAACTATTGGAGGGGGGTTTTTTTTCCTAAGAGTTTGTTTTATTACATTGGTTCATTGTAAAAGATAATCATCATACTATAAATTATACTATTTATATTTTGTCACGTGTCATACTCTCGTCACGAGCAACTTTCATATGATTATCTCGAGATTTGAGGAATTTACGATTATGAAAAAGTTGTTTTTTTTCTTTCTATTTCAAAGAAATGAAAATTTGTTCGATATTAATTCTTCCCAATCACGCTTTAATGTAATTGGATATTTTCCTCACAAACGATTTGGATAGTAATGATTTGTAATATTTGCCAACCTTGACAAAGTAACTTAATAAAAATCTCGCTTTTTTATTTATTTTTCTTATTAACACAATCATTCGTAATTGATATATCTTTTCCGTTAAAATAAATGGTGATGCACCATTTTGATAAAAAGGTTTAACGCTTCTTATTACTTTCTTCTCTAGGAGCAAAGCTTTGATTAAATCGATAGATCGTTAATGTAAACTTTAATTAAATTGACAAATAAAAAATTGGATAATAAAATCACGTATTTCTCGAGCGGAAATTATGCCAATTCTGTAATTCTACTATCGAATCAAATCCTCTTCTAGTTTTTAACTTTCTTTCCGGTTGTAATTCAGCATTGATTGTCGTTTTATTTTGATGCGAGCAACTCACTATTTTCCTTTTTGGATAGTTGTTTTGTTAGTCCCGTGCGTTTTTGTTACATTTACTTTTTACCAAAGATGAAATTTTTTTTATATATTTTTTTTTTCTTTGAAACAATTTATCGAATCAAAGAAAAAAAATCAGGCAACAAGTAAATTTTGAGATCCTTGAGGTATTAAATGATTATTAATTTTTTTTTTTGCGTTAAAAAATTATCAATTCTTTACATAATAAGCTGTGGATCAACCTAAAATGATATTCACGTGAAATTTTTAACCGATTTTTGGCGTTTTGGTCAAAAGACACAAAAATTGATCAACATTTTTGAACAAGAAAATCATTATCATTTGACCCCGCCAAGCAACGATCTTCTTTTTTTGACATTGCGGGCAAATTTGACTAGGATCAATTCTTAAACATAAATCTGCATGATGATAAAAAAAGAAATTTCATAATTTTATGGATCGTGTCTTATGATGAATGGTTGATGGTAAATTTTACGGTGAGGGTCATCTGACGGCTCAACCTTTGGGATTTGTGTCACAGTATTACCTATAATCTATTACATTTTTATTATAAATTTACATCATGGTGATAAATCGATATAAATATGGTTTCAAAAAAAATTTCGACAAAAATTTGGGGGTTTTCCATATCATTTGCTTTCCTTTCGTTCATTCCTTTCCATTTTCCCCCTTTAAATAATGTCTTTCTTACAGGTATGATAGATAACCTTTTTAAATTTTTTTTTTTTTTAAAAAAAAAATATTTCCAAATATTTATAATAGTTATTATATATTTTTAGAAAAGTCTGCCCTACAAAGACATATTTGGCTTAACTCTGGACGATTCAATCTGGCGAGATCAAAAAAGGACAACTCTACGATCAAATGATTCGTCAGAACAGATGTTGTATCAAACCTTCTTTATTCCAAAAAATTTTCCACATGTTCAACAAAAATCGAAACAAGTTAACACTTTTTTTCAATATGGATTTCCATCATTACTTGAATTGATACAAATTAATCAAATGGAAATGAAAAAACAACAACGTTTAGATTTAAATTTTCTCCCTATTATCACAACTCGTGAAGATGAAAAACCTGATATTGATGTGAAACTTCAAGAGAATAGCCGATGCTATTCGTTGTTTCAATACGATCTTCTATATAGTAAAAGGAATAACGAAGAAAGATCAAAAACGCAAATTTGCCCTTGTTGTCCACCTCTTGATCTTCCAAAACCATCACGTCAAATTCAACGGCAGATGGATGATAGCGTTTCTTACATGCTTTCAATTGGTGCGCCCAACATCGATTTCATAAAATCTTTGAACAAAACCATTCAATTGGATTGTCATTTTGAAGATACCTTTTTATTGAATGAACTTGCGGATGAAAGTTTTAATGTGTCCAACGGTGTGTCAAATCTATTGGATAAATCTGTCCAATCGGATTTAGTGTTTAATAAATCTGCGGATAGGAAATTAAACCAGCCAAGAAAAATGTTCTTATTTGAGGAAAAACCCGTTAAACTGGTTAATTCTTCATATAATGGTGTGGTTAAACTTCACGAGCAAAGTAATGATAAATCAATGCTACAATCTTCATCGTTGACCGTAGAGAAGGTTCATAGTATTTTAAAGATTTATCATTCAACATCTAAAGGTTTAATTGAAAAGAAAGAACGAAAGAATTTAATTGATTTCTCAGCAGTCGATGAGCGAGAAACTTTGGATGATATTAAAGTTAGCAATGTCAAAATTTTCAAATGTGTTCAATGCGATAAGGAATTTCCCAATAAATATTCTAGGAAAAAACACGTTATACACGATCATAATTATTTTTGTAAATTTTGTAACAATGTTTCATATAATGTAAGACAGATGCATCTTCATGAAGAAAAAACTCAGAGTGGTTACGTTACGATATCAAGAAAAAGACGCCCAAGACAAAAAAGGAGAGATTCTGGTGCTACCCGTAGATATTATTGCTGTGGACAAACTTTTAATACGGGAAGAGAATTTGGCATACATAAAAGTACTCACAAGTTTATGAGTAATAGAAAATGATCATTAGTCAAAAATTATTTTTTTCTATCACCTGACATTATATATCAAATGAGACAATATATTTTATAAGATTTGTAAAAGATTGTGACAAGTTCTTTTTAAATAGAAATAATGTTTAACAGAAAGATTATGAATAATTATTTTTCTTTTTTTAATTTAAGCCCGAATATTAGGAAAGCGGTTATTTTCTTGTTGGTCCAAACACAGTAAATATTTAACACAGTTTTGCGTTACTAAAATATTATTGATTTGTTGATCACGTGACATTCCCAAGGAAAGCCTCCCACAACTCGCAAAAGGCTTTGAAACATGAAACTATTAGAATGACTAAACATTAAAGAAAATCATATGTATATAGCATCGATTAAAAGTGACACCCGAGTTTTTATTTTTAAAGTGACAAAACATAAAGTGTAACCTTCAGTTTATGGAAATGAGGCTTATAGTGCTTATCCCAGACATAATGTTCCATTGAACTTTTCTGGCTTAGAATTAATATTATGTAATAAATAAATTGCGGATTTCAACTTTGGAATTCTATAGAATTCCAAAATATTAATATTACACAAAGAATTCGTTGGTTTTGATTCCATGTTCCTTTATATCAATCAATGCACCTTTTGAAAGTCAAGCGGGATGGAAAATCGTGCGTGCAAATAATAGGACACACCATATTATTCGATCCAAATACTAAGTAAACTGTTTATCATGTAACATTAATGTGTTTTTGTTTAACATCATACACTTAAAGAATCAACGCTGTTATTGCTAAAAAAAATTATTGCTACATTATTATATTTTTTGAAGCCATGATCTTTTTTTTTTTTTTTAATTAAAAAACAAAAATACCAATGACACTTTGGAAACGGAGGTTTGTAATTTTCTCAGACATTATTTTGGCGATCCACTGAATTTTAATTTTAAAAATGGTTTTAAATAATTATGATTAAAATAAACCTTTTTATATAAAAAATGTCTTTCTATTAAATTTTACTAAATCGATCTAAAAGTTCCGAAACTTTGGGTCTTTGATATAAAATCTCTAAGCTAATTATAGTTTGAAGATGATTTTTTAAGCTTCAATCTCAAAAAAAAAGGGTCGAAAAATGATCCAAAACTCTAATCTCATCATATCCATGAAACATATTATAAAAATTTTTTAATGAAACCTTATGTGACCCTTTCGAATAAAGGTATGAACATCGAACCAAATTCGTAGATGAGATGAGCAAGTTTGGGATTAGGAGAGAGGTTCAAACCCGTTATAATTTAAATTTTTGGTTGTGAAAAAGACTTGTAACGCCAAACGTGTGATACAAGTCGAGGATCCATGAATATTAACAAAAAAGACTTACAACAACACAATACATATAAATATGTAAACAAATTAAACAATGGTAAAATGTAAAAAAAAACCATATTTTTTATTGGTTCAAAACCTGAATATAAAATGCTTGATAGGTTCATATAAATATTTATTTAAAATTAAAAATAATTTTTCTAAAAACTCATTTCCTTTGCACTTTTCTTTCATTTTTTTTTCTTTAAAAATTAAGAGGAAAAAAAAAATGAAGTTTCCACCTGAAATCCTTCAAAATATATTTAAAGAAATTAGTTATTTCACGGATCTATATAATTGTTTATTAGTAAATAGGTATTGGTGTACGAATGTATTACCTACGCTATGGGAGAATCCATTTGAAAAAATCTTTTGGAGTCGAAATTTCAAGATAATTGAAATATACATTTCATGTCTTTCCCCTCAATCTAAACTTATCCTTCAACAGAATGGATTAGATAGAGTTCAACTACTCAAAGAAGGCGACAAGAATATTCCATTATTTAATTATATCATGTATTTAAGAGGAATAGATTTTACCATCTTGTATACCGCCACAGCGAATTGGATTTATAAAATTATAATCGAGCAAGAAAAACGAGATCGAGAACTACAGCAACGACAACAACTAGAAAAAATATTAGTAGAAGAAGATAGTACGATTGAAAATATATCGAAAATATCAAAAAAATATGAATATCTTTCAAACACTCAATTAATTATCTTTCAAGAATTAATTAAAATGATTGTAAAAAAAAGTTCGGTACAACGTTATAAATTAACCATACCAGAAGGGCTTGGATCTTATACCTATCTCGATTGTTTAAATGAAATCATTCCAGAAAGATCCCACCTTGAATTATTAAAGTTGACGACGAGTAACCATCATTTATTTTTTAGTAAATTTAAAAATATCTTTTGTACTATTGATAAATTGATAATTAAATGCAAAGAGGATGACGATAATTTAAGTGATTTTTTAAATTCTTTACCAAGAATACATTTCTTGAAGATACGTTTGATTGATCAACCAATGCCACATTTAACGAACGCTTTAAGGAACCTTTTAAAAGTTAATGATGACAAGTTAACTTACCTTTGGATTAAACAAGGTGGATCTATTCCGCTGGATATTTTTTCTGGATGCAAAAATCTTGTTAATTTAAGAATAACGGATTCACATTTACCGGACGCTCGTAATACGACAAAATCCTTTTGGTCATTAAACACGTTACAACCTTTCTCTAATGGACCAGAGTATAATCGTCTGGTTGAATTTAGTTTAAGCATAGATGCAAGGATAAATTTACATCAACTCTCTAAAATTATATCAAAAACGAACGGAAGCCTTCAATATTTATGTTTAAAATGGGAAATTGAACAAGATCCTGAACACTGTCAACTCCTATTTGATAATATCTTAAAATCATGTCCAAATTTAATTGACATATTTATTTCAATATCACCTCATACCATAAAATATTTAATCGATTTTTTGGAAAATCTTAAACATTTGGAAATTTTAGAGATTGATTCTTTGGTGAAGAATATAGATTTGAATGATTGGTTACCCAACATTGGTAGAAAGGTCACCTCAAGGTTAACGTTATTAGGCTTTTATTGTAAATTTATTTGTAATTTAGACGAATTTAACCAATTTCTTAATAATATTCCCTCAGTTTCTTTATTCGATGAACAGTTTTTTTCGGTTGGATTGGAATTGTATTTTCATGATGCTAATGTATGGATGGGACGAGATAAAATTAATTTGTTGAGAAGATACGTTAAAATTGGAAAGATTCATAGTAATGTTTGTGGACCTTAAACATTTAAAAGGCAAGTAGGATTGTCTTGATCAATAGAATCAAATGGATATAAAATTGTATAAATTTACTTGATATAGATTTAAATAAAATTTATTTTAAAAAAAAGACATCTTTCGTTATTTGTGACGCAGAACTGTTATCCTGCCTATCATGGGACTTTGAATGTCATGTGATATCGGGTAAACCAAAAACTTGCTTTGCCGAATTATGTAATTAGCCGCAATGATATTACGCTTGAATCATTTTTTTTCTTTTTTGTAATCAAATACGGATTTTCTCTTTCTCACCCATAACTTTTTTCTTTTATATAAATCGTCCTATTTTTTTTTTTTTTTTTTTTTTTTTTTTCCTCAAGTATAATTTTGAACTTATTTTTTTTTTCTCTCTTTTTTAGGAAATGATATGATTTTAGTTTTTTTTTAGGTAACGATAAAGTTTCTTTTACTCTCATTCTTACACTCTAACTCTCACTCTCACTTTCTCGAGAGAGAAACTTTTTATACCGTAATGATATTTCGAATATTCTAATATTTTTAAGTATTAAATAGTCTTAAACGAAAAATGGAAAACATTATTGTTTTACAGAATGATAATATGGAGCAACAAACCATGCCACCTTTGACAACTTCGACCAATACGACTTCGCAAGCTTCTCATTCATCATTTGTTTCATTACCTACCATTACCAATTCATTTACCAACAACATCGTTCCAGTGACGAATTTTTTTCCCTCGACACAATCACCTTTATCTTTAACCACGTTACCTACATCAATAAACCCAACAATATCAGTACTTCAGCAAGTAGAAGATACTAATCAACATCTTAAAGAAGTCGTAGTGCATGAAGGGCAAATAATGTGGGCATGTAAATTTCCAAAATGTTGGACATTATTCAAATCACAGAACAGTTTAAATAATCACATCAGACGATATCATATGCAAACAAATCAAGACAATACTTTTGGAAACGTGTCTGTTTCCGGCGCTAATAGTAAGAGAAGAGAAAAATCAACACCAATGTATCAGTGTGATGTAACTGGATGTGTACGATCATTTTCATTATCGTCGAGTTTGGAAAAACATAAAGAATCTCATGAAAAACAAATCATTAATTTACCTACTATAGATAAAGCATTTAAATGTGATGAGATCGGTTGTACAAAGTCTTTTGATAAATTTAAACATTTGGTTGCTCATTATAGAAAACATTCCAAAGATAAAACATTTAATTGTAATGAACTTGGTTGTGATAAGAAATTTTTTCATCCAGATAGTTTAGCTAGACATATGTTTAAAACTCATAAGAAGATGAGTGATGGTACTGCAATTAAATTTAAATGTAAATATGAAGATTGTGGTAAAGAATTTAAATCTACTTATCATTGGAAAAAGCATAACATGACTCATCCTCATTCTAACTTTGAAGGTAGGTACATTAAGGTAAACTTTTGTTGAGAATCTGTTGTCTGATAAGAAAATAATATTTTTTTTTTCCTTTAAACAAATAAATTAGATGGGATTGTTGAAGATGAACAAAGATCTCAAGAGATTTTATAAAATAAATAGTAATGATTTTGAATGATGAATTAGAGAATTTAAAACAAAACAAGTAACCTTCTAAATAATATATATCATAGTCTTTTTTTTTTCCTGTTACAAAGGTTTTTTTTTATAGGATCTTATGGATTTTTTATCTTTTTATATTTGACCAATTTTTATGTGATGTAATGATAAGTGATTTTGGATTAAAAGTTTAGGTAAATGAGAATCTTTTTTTTTTCCTTTTTTTTATAAACTAGATGAAAGTTAGAATTTTTTTTTTTTTTTAAGAAAAAAAGAAAAAATATAAATAAAAAATAAAATAATGAAACATTTAAACTCTGTTTTTCATTATTCAATAAAAAAAATTTGATTAATAAAAAAAATAAAATAAATTAAAAAAAATGAACGAAAAAAAAAAATATTTATATATTTCTCGAAATATTGAGAAATATAAAATTTTAAAAAATTTTAACTCACATTTTATATAAAAAAAAAATTTGATTATCTGATGAAATTCTGATTATCCTAATCTAAATCTTTAGAAATCCCGATTTCGAGTGTAACGAGATTATTTATAATTACCATTACTCTTTTTATTTTTTTTTTTTTTTACAGTATATAAAAAAGAATTTTTTTAGTATATATAAATATATATAAAAAGTATTGTAGTGAAATTAGAGACTAAATTGGAATAATTGGAATCGACTTGTTTACTATATTTAGTCGATTATAAAAAAATTTTCCCTAATCGAGGATAAATAATAACTTTTCTTAAAGAATCTAGATGCATAATTTTTTTTTTTGATAAGGTTAAAAATTATGGTTGGTTTTTATTATTTTTTTATCCTACATTTTTCACCATTTTATAAAAAGGTTATATCATTATTTATTATTTACATCATTAAAAAATACATCCCAAATTCCTTCTGGATCTACATAATCGTGATGGACAAGATTAATTAACCACCAATTATTTCCAATATCATTTAATAACTTTTGTGTAGGTGAATCTTTTGGATATAAACGTTCCCATTCTGTCCATAAAGCATATGCTTCGTCCTTAAATATTTTATCATATTAGCAAAGTGTAATATAGAATAGGGAAACTTTAAAGGAAACCCTTATACATACTTTCCAAGCTTTAAATGAAACTTGTTCGATGATCGTGGGTTGTACAATTTCTTTACCGGGAAAAACTCCCCAAGTAACTGCAGATGGCGCTTCCTCTTTTATATTAGTTTTAAAATCCCCCTATAAGTGGTTGAAGAAAATTTATCTTTAAAATGCACTAGTTAAAAGAATACGAATTGTTTTATACTTACATGTCTATTTAAAGCATAATAAGTAATCCAAGGATCATCCGTTATCTTTTTAATTAATTTCTCCAAACTTTCTAGACTTACAAAAAATTCAACAAATGCTTTTTGATACACATAGCCACCTTTTGGACCCCAGCCGTAAATAGGATCTTCGCTTTTTGCCCCATTAACAGCTGGTTGTGAACTAACTGTTAAGTACCCAAGTTCATTAAGACGAACAAGTTTTGATCGAATTGCTTCGGTTTCTGCAAATAGTGGTTCCTCATACCATGGTAATGCGGGAATATCACCAAGGATATAGGACTTAAAAACTTGTTTCAACTCATCTAATGTTGTTGGTCTTTGCCAATACTTTAAAGCTTGTTCAGGCTAAATGGAAATATTTTTTACGCTTTAAAATTTATTTACAATAAAAAAAAATTATCATAATTAATATATTATCATACCGGTATTCTTAGAGACACACCATATCCATCCAATTCACCGAAAGCTTTATAAAGGATAAATTTATTAAGTTAAAATGATGTTAAAGTTCGAATTATTTATTGTTAAGTTAAGGCATACCAGGAGACCTTGCATCTCCCCATCGTCCATTTGGAAAATTATCCCAATCTTCCGATCTACCCAAATAATCTTCGCTTTGTTCCTTCCATATTACTGGCTTTACAGTTGGAAGTGATCCATCAGGTTCCTATTAATTCAGAAAAAAAAGAATAAATTACATGATTCTTTGAAACGTATTATGAATCTTATACAACTATACCTGTCTGATGATATCATTTGACACAAAACTAACGCTTGAGCGCCGTCTACTACGACGCCGTAAATTCCTTTCCTCTTCTGTTGGTACAAATTTTAATTTCTCCAAAACCAATCGTACAGATTTCTCCAAATTCATTGTACATAGATGAAAACCTCTTACATTGTGTTCATTGAATAATTTAGAAATCATAGAAACTGCGAGTGAAACACCATAGTCTTTAACTGCTTGATCATCGTGCTAAAACCATATATTTTATTAATAATAAAATTCAAGTAGACAAATTATAAATATATGTGTGTCATACTTTGATTGGTTCTAGAGCATTTATTATCTCCGAAGGTATATGTATCTTACAAAGGTTCGTTATTCTTCGAAAACTATGATAACCCTGAATTGGCATAATACCTGGAATAATAGGTACCTTTATACCTATTTTTAATTATTTTAAAAAATAGTTTAATAAAAATAATTTTATTTAAATATATGTGTATATAAATAACATCTACCAATTTTTCGACATTCTTTTTCCCATTCCACAAATGTATCTGCATCATAAAATAATTGTGTAATAATAAATTCAGCACCAGCGTCTACTTTTTCTTTTAAATACTTCAAATCTTGTTTCTTATCGTCAGAATCCGGATATCCTTCAGGATAACCTTAAAAAAAATGACAACACGTGAATAAATTAATTTAATTCGCTCATAAAAATTGTAGACGCACCTGCAACTCCAATACAAAAATAATCTCCGTACTCTTTTTTAATAAACCTCACTAAATCAATCGCATGTGTAAACCCATCATCACATGACGTCCAATACTCTTGACCTCTTGGTGGATCTATTAAAGACGCGTGTATAATAATATATTATAATTCTGGATTAAATAAAACGAACTATAATTGTAAAATACGGAATAACTTACCACCACGCAAGGCTAAAATATTCTGAATACCCGCACTTTTTGCTTCCTGATTAATAGAATAAAATTGAAATGAATTATGAATTTGTTGTTGAATGAATATCAATTAATGGTACAATTTATTCAATAGGTTCTTTTTCCAATATGTAGAAATAAAACTAACATTCAAAGCCTTTTCTATTATTGTTCTCACAACATTTGTACAAGTTAAGTGCATACAACTTTCTAACCCATAAAGAGTCTGAGCTGTTGCACACATGTCTGTTGTTCTGTCTATAGTACTCCCACCTGCTCCCCAAGTGAACGAAGCAAAGAGAGGGTTTAAGAAAGACATACGTTTAAGCCTATCATAAAGGTTAGTTAAACCCTAAGTCATAAAAAACTTTGCATTAATTTATAGTCGATAAATAAATAGAAGTAATGTCTGAACACTCACCTCGTCTGTTTTAGGAGGAAAATATTCAAACGAATAAAAAGCTTGAAAGGGTTCATTACTAATTATCTTGTCAATTATTTTCATAATTTTCCAATTTTGAAAAAAAAAAAATTGATTTTGAAAAATCAAAAAGATTTGCAACCAGATTAAATCCATTGAAATGGCGCAGTATGCATGAATGGGACTTCCATCAAAAAATGTCACGTCGGCCCGCATTAATGCATGTTGCCGATTCTTAATGCTGGCCATTTCGTGACATTTTTTGATGAATGGATTGTTGATGATCTATTGGTCGGGTCTATTGGCTAAAATGTGATATAATTTAGCAAAAGTAGAATTGCTTGTATTTAAAAGCTTATTAACCATGAATGCTAAAACATAATTTATATTTATTTTAACCCTTAAACCTTAAAGTATATTCAATAAAAATTTAAAGTGTGATTATTAATACCAAATTTACGCAATTTAGTAATTAATATCAAATGTTATTTAGTTAATTAAATCTAAGCATTGAAAAAATTTTAACAAGGCTAAGCTATTTCAAATTTAGAAAAAATTTTACTTACTAATTAAAATTAATTTTAAATAAATTAAAATTAGTTATCAAACAAATAATATTTTTTAAGTAAAATCAAAAAAATTTACAGTAAGTAATAATTTTTTAAGATCAAAATGTTTTGAATATTTTGAATATTTTTTAACAAAAGTATTTTCTTTATAAAAGCTAAAATTTAATTTTTATTTATTTTTATAATATTAAACATATAAATTTATATTTAAAATATTTATTTATAAATTTAAAGTTGAAAATTTTGTATATACAGTAGCGGTCATAAGTATCTGACCGTCTCTAACTCCAGCTACAAGTAAGTAAATTCAAAAATTTTTTTTTATTTAAAAAATACATAATCAACTAACTAAAATTAATACATTGTGTAGTTACCATCTGACTCTATAAGTGCAGCTGTACGCCTTTTCATGCTAGCTATCAAATTCGCGGCAAGTACAGGTGATAATCAGTTCCATTCTTTTGTAAGTTCTCCTTTTAACCCTCTAATTGATCGAATTTTTTTTTTGTATATTAATTTTCATTAACCTCCAAACGTTTTCTATAGAGTTTTAGTCTAGAGACATTGATGGCCAAGAAAGTACCTCAATGCTATTTTCTTCCTTCCATTTTTTCGCAATTTTCAATTGATGCTTTGGATCATTATCTTCTTGCAAGATCCAATTTATGTTACCTTCACCAAAAAGTTTAGAGGTGGAAGTCAGAAGACCCTGCTCATAAATAGTATACATAAATTCAGCATTAAGATTTCTCTGAAAGCAAAATAGCTTACCAAATCCAGAAGCAGAAAAACATCCCCAAACA